GCAACGGGGCTCACAACCACGCAGCAGATGAAAGGCCAGGCTGCCCATCTTGTAGTGCACTTAACGGCTGATACCACTCTGGCTCTGGCTCTGGCCTGAATACCACCCTCTCGGGGTCAAGATGAACTGGGCACAAGGCCACTCTCTTATCTGATTCTCATCAGATGTACATGTCTGAGGCTGAGCCCTGTAACCCTCACAGCCTGGGCCAGGTCACTGCATGGACTTAGACATGCAAGTGACACTGGGTCACACTCTGACAGGGAAGATACCAGGGAGCTCCCCAAGCCTGTGTGACAAACAGGATCATGGCACTTCAGAGTGGACAAGTCTAAGGAATGTAGGGAAAATTATCCTGCTGGGGATTGTGGCTCTAACAAAGGCCGCAGGGGAGAGATTCTAAAATGGCATGAACAACCTCAAAAGGACAAGAGCTTGGAAACTTAGTTCCCATCAAAACCCCACCATGGATGAAGCAACCATGAGCTTTACTGAAACTTTTTAGATGGGGGAGAAAAAAAAATTTTTTTCTCATCTGGAATATTTTGGGATGATGGATTCTCTTATTTCTCAATGAAAAGCAGTACTTTCCTAAGTTTTTCAAATTGAAGCTTCGAGGTTTCCTCTAGCTGTAGGAAGATGGGGCTTTTTTGTTGTTGTTGTTTGTTTGTGCTTTTTATCAAGTCTTCAAAGATTTTAGTGACTCTGGGCAGAGCTTCTCAGAGACTTTTTCCCCCTGGTGGGATCCTCTTTATGTATCTCTTTTCCTGCACCTGTACCTTCCATCACTTCAAATCTTTCATGGACTCTGGGGGCTGAAAAAATTCCCAGAGTGGAAGAGCCTTGGTTCTGTACACAAGCTGGGGTGTTTTCTCTAGCAGCCTTTGGGAGGGGTGACAGAATCCCTCATCCTCACTGACTCTCATTCTGTTGGCAGATGTCTGCCAGATCAGAGTGATCAGACAATTGATCACCAAAGTCTAGTTACTTTCCTATAATTTACACTTGCCCACACTAATAACAACAACAATAATAATAAATAACTGGCATTTATTGAATGCTTATTATGTGGCAGGCACTGTTCCAGGGTCTTTACGTTGACAAACTCATTTATTATCCGTAATAACTGAATGAGGTACAGTGTGCATTTTTGCACATTATAGGTTACCTTCTCCATGTCACAAATTAGGAAATAGAGATTTATCGAGGTCAACTAATTTGCCCCACGCTAAAGTCAGTTAAGGAAGAGGGCCTGCCCTTCTCAAGTGCCGTCAGAGTGGGAGGGTGTGGGAGCATCTGCCAGGGAGGGAGAGGTATTGTGTCACTGACATTGTTTGGAATTGTCAGGCTGACTTTTATTCCGTTTAAGTACTGTTTTTAAATTCTCAGATGCACCACCTTCTGTTTGTGTCCCCATCATATGACCTTATGTGATTTTATTCTGACTCCCCCAAATTCGATGAGTCCTGGGGTCTATTTTCATCAACTTTGTTATGTTACTCTGCCCAGGACATCAGCAAAATTTAAGTTGTTAACTGGGCAAGTTCAGATGAAGAACGGAAGTAGGGGGAAAGCCAGTACGACTTCTAGAACCCAACTTAAACTCCACCTCCTCCAGGAAGCCCTCCCTAATTTCCCTGCTCTTCCTCTGGCATCCTCTCCCGAGCCATGGTGGGGAGGGCCACCCAGCTGCCTTTACATCTGACCTTCGAAGGCCTTCATTGCTCACTTGTACATAGCAATGACTATTTCACCCCAAACATTTCCACTTGGCAAACACATGCCAGGAGCTAGCCACTAAGCCCAGCTTCCCCGGCCCCACTGCTCCAGCCCCTTCCCCTTAGTGTAAAATATGGAGGCAAAGGTGATGAGCCCGTGGTGCCAGGCAGGGCAGGCTGGGAGGGTGGAGGGAAGGGGGTGGAGGCAGAAGACACACTTTATCAGTGTGACTGAACACAAACCCAAGAGCTGGTTGAGCTGGATGAGTTCACCCAGGGGTCACATGCCTTCTCACAGGAAGAGGTGAAATGTACTGCTCCAGGCAGTTCACAGTTAAGTCCACATTTCAATCTAAGCTGGGTGCACGTTTTGTTTTGTTCTGTTTTGTTTTTTTCCCAAGCCCAAATCCCCTCTTTTGATTCATGCATGGGTTTTGGGTTGCAGCCAGACTACAGCTGCAAGGGTGTGTACTGGGGTAGGGGAGGAGGCGGGGCAGGGGGGGAGACTTCTAGGCCCTATAAAAGAGGATCAGAGGTCACTGACGCAGCCCAGAAAGGGTGGTCATTTCCTTTCAGCCTCCTACCCTCTGGGCCTGAAGCACATCCTTGCAGTCTGAATCTGATGGCTGAGACAGGTCCCTCATGACTGCAATCATTCCAGACCCCTCACTCCTGTGGTGCCTGCACAAACTATGTGCTCAGTAAAGAGCTGTCTGAATGAAGGAATGAAGCAAGTATGCCCTCTAACCTGATGACGAGGGCCCCTCTGCCCCAGTTAGATGGGCATCCTGGCAGGGCCTTTGAGTTTGACCCAACCCTTCCCCAGCACTGGGCTATTCTCCAGCCAAGAGCTCCAAGGTCGTGTTTTGAGAGATGGGGCAGGACGGGGAGCCTGGGGGCTTAGGAGAACCACCCTGGGCTGGCAGGCCAGCTGGCCTGGGGCTTGCCTGTAGGAGCTGAAAAGTGAGCTCTAACTCAAACCCTCCTCCATTCTGATTCCCAGGCCTTGGGGCTCCCAAGTTTCCTGGTAGAACTCTTCACCTCTTCCTGTAACCAAGCAGGATTCCATGGGGACTTCCCAGGACAGATTCCTCTCCCCATGTCCTCTGCCTGTCTCTTGTTTGTAGAAAAGCTTTCATATCCCACACCTCCCCTGAGTCACAGAAGTCTGGATCAAAAATTAATGCAAAAATAGCAGTTGGGCCAGGAGAACTGGTAAGAATTTAAATAGTAAATCAGCCATACTGCAGTCACAGAATGTTTAGTTCCTCCCTGAAGTACCTAGATAGCAGTATCTAATGCACATTTCCTGAGTTGTTTTACAGTTGCTAAAACCCCCAGAAAATGGAAGAAGTTAAGTACTGGATGACCATGAGCATGCAGCTCCCAGACCTATTGGAGCCTGAGGATTGGTGATGTTAACCCCTGTGACACCATCCTGTTACCTCACCATCAACCAATCAGAGAAATGTGCACCAGCTGTTCACATACCCTGTGACTCCCCTCCCTCACCTTGCCTTTAAAAATGCTTCCCTGGGGCTTCCCAGGTGGCGCAGTGGTTGAGAGTCCGCCTGTCGATGCAGGGGACACGGGTTCGTACCCCCGTCCAGGAAGATTCCACATGCCGCGGAGCGGCTGGGCCCGTGAGCCATGGCCGCTGAGCCTGGGTGTCCGGAGCCTGTGCTCCGCAACGAGAGAGGCC